CACTCGAAAGTGCTGGATGCACGGGAAACAAATTTAACATGTCAAAATTGATTATTCAAAGTGTCTATCACTGGTGATCGATTTGAATAGGCACGATAACGAAAGAGATAAGCATGAAGCATTGTCAATTTGAATATTAATTGTTATGGTTAGACAAGAGCAAAGTTCAGTGCCTATGGAAGTGCCTCCTACTTATTTCTATTATAATACAAACTCAATTTCACCATATTAGCAAGCAGTAATTATAATGTTTGGTACTTTAAACTTAATGCATGCCCACATAATGACATTTCTTTTCCAAATCACCTTGACAGAAGAGTAACTCAAATGAATGTGAGTGTGTAAAGAGTAGCAGAAACAAAGCAGTAAGCTAAAAGCAAAAGTAAAACAGCTTATTTAGGCTGCATTTTAGGAAAGATAGATTGCAGTCACCAGACAAAAAAAAAAAAAAGCTTGAAACCCTAAGTAATGCAGGGATGCAAAAGAAGGACAACTAGGAAAGCACTTGGGCTAACTGTAACATGATTTCAAGTACTTCTTTTGAATAGAAATAGCAGGAATAAAATTATATGATACACCAAGATTTCATCTGATAGGTAAATGCTTGTATTAAAATAAGCACTGCGAACGGCAGTGTTATAGTGAGAAGTCTCATTTGTGCATAAGTCAATGTCAATTCAAACTTAATCCACAAAATCCTGTGAAATGCTGATATGTGAAAGTTACAAGATTCAAAGCAGCGCCATGCTTCAGATTTTGTATCGAAATACTATACAGGAGAGCGGCGTCAGTATTTGTGCGATCATTGCCATACGGATTGTGGTACGCGGCCCTGGTAAGTGGCTGAGGGTAAGTGTCGTGGCACTGACACGACTAAAATGAAAAAACAAAACAAAACGAGAAAGCAAAAGACACACGAGCAAGCGCTTTCTATTGAGTCTGCAGAAGTGCTGTTATCTTACTGTGCTCCGACAAAAGGTGTTTTCACACCTTATTGCCTGTCCTCACTGATGTACTGTCACAGAAAGATCAAATTCTACTTCCATTAGTTTTATTCTGGTGGCAGTGTGGCACCAGTACTAGCTTGAGAAGCGAAGTCAGTCAGCTACTATTGTTACGCACACTAATGTTGCGATAGCAGTATGTTGTATCTAAAGATAAACAATACATCATTGAATGTATCAGAAATTCAGATACTCGTGTTGCGAGACGTATCGCGATGCATATACAAGATACCCAAACAGTATCTAAGATACATGTATCTTCAATACTGCCCAACCTTGCTGGGGGGACACGCAGGTATATTTTTCGTGCCAACAAGATGGCGCTGCCATCTTTTCAGTGGGCATTAGGCGCATTTATTTGAAAGATGCAAAGCTGCTTTCCACCTCCTTCATGTGAATTCATGTTTAAAAGCAAAATGCTTGCCACAAGAAAACCCATGAATTTAGTTTCTGTGACAGAAATATTTATTAGGTAGACAAAAGGTAAACTTCAGTAGGAATATTAACCAACAAGATGGTTTTGCCAATTTGGCCGCAGGCATTTGATACATTTATTTGAGAGATGCAAAGCTATTTTCTGTTTTTTCATGTAAATCCATGTTTAAATACAAAGTGCCTGCCACAAGAAAACACATGAAGTCAGTTTCTGTGATAAGTTGGTTTCTTTCCTCGGTGCTGTTTTCTTCTGCACCCGCAAAAGGCACGAGCCTCGATTAGATGCGCTGAGATGTTGGGAGCACCACGGAAAACTCCTACACTTAGTCCTGTGGCACGTATTTAAAAAAACTGCGCAAAAAGTTTGCAAGCAACACCATGAAGGAGTGTGCCATCTTTTAATTCCTTAGAAAGAACCATGCCACCTCACGTCCAATCCAATACACAATATATACTAGTTACAATTTCAAACTTCAGATTACAATGCAAGATGGAGAGCTTTCGTGTGTAGGTTACTGGTGGGTCACGTGCCACCCATAGCACAAAAACATTTTTATTGCGTGCATCATAGTCGTGGAACACTGGTTTGTTATAGCCGTTAACATCAGGCAAGTATTCTCCTGGGCTTGTGTATCCTCATGCAACAAAAATCATACCTCTGCGTTGAATTGTCAGTTATCGCAGCTACAAGCAGATAAAAGTACGTAACTTCGCAGCCGCATAGGGCGAGCACAGGCTGTAACCCACCGGTGGCTCACGACATAGTGAATGTGTTAAATGACAACCCGGTAGTCAGTCAGCAAGCAGAGCGGCAAATTCCATCAATTACAAAAGTGACTGACAGTATAATGTCATGATGAGCTGTAATGTTATGTAGCTAAAGCAATCCCAATAAACTGTTTTGAAATGAAACTATAATGTACTTAGAGCATGAAATACAATACCCTTGAAATTCTAACTGACATTTCCTTCAAGTGAAACAAAGTTGGTCATTGTGAAATTTTTAAGCTCACATTTTTGTGCATAGGCGTTTGCAGCTGCGTTGTATTGGTGCATCACAGCAAAGTGGTATGGCAACAAAATGTTTTGAAGTATCTGAAGATACAATTGGGAAGTATAGTATTGGATACAATAATTTGCATTAGTATTTTGTCTCTGTATTTAATACTTTTTGCTTGAGTGTCTTGTGTCGTATCGCAATATACTATTTCAAAGTATCTTCGCCTAGCCTTGCTAATAGTCTAAAAATTCTAATTTTGAGCCGTCTTTCTGGTGCACATGAAAAGATCAGACTACATACAGGAAAGTCAACCACCCTCAAGGCTCTTTTGCTAGGCTGTGCGACATACTGTTTTTTTGTGTGTGACTTCTGAAATGCGATTTAAAAATAAAAATCCTACTCTGATTACCAAAAAGAAGCTTAAATCTGCCAATAGTCTTTTCATTTTCACCAGGATCTAATTACAAATTCTGCCTAGTTGCTGGTCTTTTTAAGTCGGTCTGTTAACTAGCTAAAGGACCTGCAGCATTGACTCAATATTAGAGACCGGATTGTACGGAAATGCTTATTTTGTTCCTTGCATTTTTATCGTGCATCTTTGATATATGAGCATGCATCAGAGCTTAAGAAGGGCTTTTATAGCGTTTTTTTTTTTCAGTGCCTATAAATGCCCATTTTTAACGTTCATGACTAAATTCTTACAACTGCCTATAAATGGCTATTTACAAAATCGGTGCCTACATGAATACCATTTAACCTCAAATTTTTTTTTAGTTCAGTTGGAGACGGATATTCATGTTACAGAGCAAAATGTAGCTTTTGTAACTGTATGGGGTGCATCCTATATTTGATCTTGGAAGTTCATTTCAGCACTGTCAAGGCTATAAGGCTCCTTAGCGAATAGGAAGGCCGATTATCATCTACACATGCGTTCGTCAGCGTCGGATCGACTGCTTGGCATCTCCTTAGTGTCTGCTCGCATGCGTAGGAAAGAGCAGGTGGTTCTGTGCAGCTGTAAGACGATGGAGAACGAATACGAAAGTGTGGAGTGTCATAAGGGCAGGTAGAGTGTATTCTAACCATGACACATAGTGTCGCCTTGCTAGAACTGCTCTAAGGGACGATGTACGAAAAACACACCTAGCATTGTCAGGGCTGGCACCAGCACGATTTGAGAGCCGCGGGAACACCAATGCAAACTAAATGTGGCAACTTAATCTTGCATTTCGCTTGATACGAAGTTAAAAATGAATTAACGTGTGCAGATTTCATTTGTATGTTTAAATATTTCTATGAACTTTCATTATTCTATTCAAGCAACAGATTGCACAAATTAGACACGTCTCTTGAATAATTGTCTCAGTGTCACGTACTATTTTGACGTACACAGGACCAATCTTTCTGCACGTCATTTTCACCTTGTTGGACGCACGCCCGTCATATGAAGAGCCTGTGATACAATTTCACCGCTTTCCGGGGCACTTGGCTTTGTAAATCCTGGCTGACGAGACAGACCGTGAGCACCCAGTGCATGTATTTCTCTTGCCTGCTCGAAATTCTGAACCCTGGAGAGGTACCCTTTAAGTTTTCACGGACTGAGCAGAAATTGACCCTCTGCGATTATAGACCTGATGAATATGAAGCTAAAAGACCCCCCCTGACCTATTAGCGCAGTCTGGCTATTTGCTCCTGCGCTGCCCTTCTCGGTCATGCCCAAAATACTGAGACCTATAAGCCTGTTTTTTCGGTGGCGGACACTTTGCTCACCATGCTGCTCACTAAAAGGAGAGACTGTGCTCAGCGATCCTTTCGGGAAAAAAATGGTTATGCTGAACCATTCATGCCTTTGTACTGTCATAAACTTAAACATTTCTTGCTTTCCTGTCGTACACACGGGTCCCGCACGTATTTCCTTGAAAATTTGAATTTTTGTTAAAATTTTTTCTGTCTATATTTATGACTTTGGGGGCCTAAAATTGTGTTTCTTCAGTCTATTTTAGTGCCTAAAACTAGCTTTTTAGTGCCTACAAATCCGGCCTCTACTCATTATCTTCGTACAAAACCGTGAAAAGCATTTTATCTCTTTAATGTTATGGGTCTACTTTAAAGTTTATCACTTGAATTATTTTTTTATGTATTACATAAAATTTTAAGGTGTGTAAAATGAGGTTTTCATTTTTTTGTTTTTTGGGAATATAGGAATGTTGCTGTAGCCCCAACTTTTCTAATAGAACATCGTAGCTAGTTGTTTTAAATGGTACAAATGCTTAATGTATGCAATAAGTTAATGTGTGAAGTATAAATTCTGTATGAGTTAATTTTAAGTGCAGTATAACAAAGGCTCAGCTTCAATGTCATTAACACCAGAATAGTGCTTGGATGGGTTTGTTGGTCGAAAATATCTATGTACTCTTATGAAAATTGCAGCAGCTTATCAGGCACGATCGCAATTCGTACCTGTAGGTGTGGATGAGTGGAACATAATTATTTGCTCTGTCCTGGTACTATTACATCACCTTGTCACTAGAATATTTTTGCTTTCGTTTTCTTTTTATGTGCAGAGCTTACATGCAAGCCACAGAAACACAAGCCCAGCAATATTAAGTTCCAGCTGCAAGACAAAATAGTTAAGGCTGGAATTTCAAGCCAGGATCGCATGCAGGGTATGGTGAAAAACACTCGGCTCTTAAAGAAGCTCAAAATTGATGACACTACTGCAGTTGATGTTTTGACACATTCAAATATTGACAAGGCTGCTTCAGAGGCTGAGGCAAAAAGGTGAGTAGCACCAGAGCACATTGCCCATCGCCATCACGTTAGCTGCCATATAACTCTTTCATTACCGAGCGAAAGTGGTTATTTTTCATATGTCTCGGAACTATTGTTTTTGCCATTTTAAAAAGGACTCCAGCACGTATTACAACATAACAAATTTTATGCAATGAAATGCTCTTTCCAAAAAATGTATGTTTTAGAGCAACAAAAATAGTTTTCAATGAATAAAAATGTTAAAAGGGTGTAATTTTTTTGTTTCCAGCTGGTAAAGAGTGAAATAAAATTCTTTATATATGCAACAATATTTGAAAAAATGAAAATTCAGAATATACATTTTGAAGATAAATGACTCAGGAACAATATAAGAAATAATAAATGTTGTAAATATTTTTCTTTTGACATAGACAAAGAAAATCGGAACCGAGGTGCTGCTTCATTGCTAATGTCATACGGTGAAGCATTTTTTTTGTGAGACACAAGTGAACGCATACAATTTTCTCTCTAATTTTTTTTTTTTTTGATAAGAGCCTGCAAGTGTTCAAATATAGATGAATGCCCGTGATGTGAATAATACCTGTACAAATCGGATGTTCAATGAACTTTGCTATTTTGTCTAGCGTCACCTCTTTCCATGAGCCATCTCACTTCGCATAGGTTGGCATTCCAATATATGCATCCAAGCATATGTCTTTCTGTATTTGCACAACGTATTAAAAAGAACAATATCGCTCACACTTTTAAAAAGTTTCACGCTGCTCCGTAGTCAGGGCCAAGATGTGCTCTAGTGGCCTCCATGTCATGTGGAGATGCTCTGCAGTTGGCGCCAGCACACTGCGCCCTAGCGATGTTTGGACCTCGCACGTAACCACAGTAGCTATGACATTGTGCCCAAGGGTCAACAGCTATGCACTTGCGGTAGAGAAGACAACTTGAGGCCGTAAACAAAACAAATCCATGAACGGCGATGGATGTCTCAGGCTGATGCAAAACATCGTCTTCATAAAACTTGAAGCTGAAGTGTTGTCATTCTCGCGCTTTAATCTCGTCGTCATTCAATTTAGGTGCGGTTGCAAGACAGTTTCGAGCAGCGCATTTTTTTCGTAGCGCAGGTGTGCACGCATGTGCGCGTGACGACGTTGCCATAGGAGTGACTAGTGACACCAGTTGCGGCCCTGTGTCTGATATAACGACACAAGCGAAACTGAAGCTGCTGGTAATTGACTGAGAAAGCCACCTCCACACTTTATACATGTGGCGGGCCTTCAGAAATATTTTTTGTAGAATAAATTTTCCCCAGCTCCTAGCAACAGCGATCTAATCAAGAGCTGGCATAAATTTCTGGCAATTATTACTGTTTAACACTGTCAGATTGCAAAGCGGACCCCCTGAATTGATATTTGACTTTCAAAGATTATTTTGATTGAAGAACTTTGATGTTACTGTAGCATAATCAGGAAAGGAACCCACTTCTTTCAATTTCTCCAGCCAAGTGCATTTTCCCAACAATGCACGCACTTGATTTGCACAGAAGTTTGTCGAAAATCCCTATGTTGCCAAAACGGGCAAATTTAATTGATCCTTAAAGTTGAGTGACTGGGCTAATGAACTAGAAAGTGCTGGGTGCACGAGAAACAAATTCAACATACTAAAATTAACTATCCAAATTCTCGATCACTGGTAATCGATTTGAATTAGCCTGGTAACGAAAGAGTTAAGCAAGTTGGCATATATATACATGGCTGAAAAGGTCGCACTGTGGAGAGTTGGTCTTTTTCTCACGAGAATGTTGCTTTGTTGCCTGATATAAGACAAAGTTATTTTTTTTACTTTGTAAGACTTATTTTCTGGTAAAATTTTAATTGATGGGCTCGTTTTCTTATGGACACACTATTAATGAGAACTAACATACAATAATACCAGGGAAAGTATAGGGATTGTTATTAGAAGTAATTCTAATGCAAATGTGAAGAAATAAAAGTGGACGAAAAGATAACTTGCTGATTGAAGCTCTCACATTAAAATGCACATATATACCCTATAAATTGGATGGAGGGATGACTGCCACCATAGCTCAGTGGTAGAACTTTAAACGCATTATTCGAAGGTCGCAGGTTCGGATCCTGCTATCCTTTCATCCACTTTTCTTTCTTCCCGATTTACATTGCAATTACTTCTAATAACAACCCCTATGCTTTTCCTGGCATTATTGTCTGCTAGTTCTCATTAACATTCTCTTCTAAAATAGTTCTGACCAGTGAAGTCTTCTCACCTGAGCCTTGAGCTGGAGAAAAGCTAAGAGGCGTATGATGGGGCCTCTAAGCAGTTATTTGTTTGAATGCAAATATGTTCCAAAAGTCGGGTCAGTTCATGGTTACAAATGTGTACTCCAACTTAATAAAATATATATCACAAAAAAACCGCCAGGCCTGCGTGGAACGCGCAGCACATACACAGCGAAAGCTAGAAGAGCGGGCTTTCGAAGCCTTTTCTAAACACACTTTGGGTGACTGCTACAAGCACACTGCTGGGTACCCACTTTGCCATAAATAATCATGATTTTTGTGTAGTTGGCCAGAATTCACTATGCCAGTGGTTCTCAGCCATGGATGTGCCGAAGGACCTCTTGTCGGCTGGAAGTGACGGGGGACCCTTGCAGCGGAGGGGGGGGGGGGGGGGGGGGGTGGTGGTGTGTAGGTAAATTAACACAACTGGTGCGTGAAACAAGGGCCTTTTATTGCTACTGAAAACATCAATAAACATGCCACATCGCTTCAATTTGGACAGTTCATCAATACGTGGCACAGTCATGCTTAAAGAAAAGTGAGGGTTTCGCGGATCATGGAAATAGCATCGCAGACCTTCTAGGGGACCTCTATTTGAGAACCACGGCACTATGCTATCCTTCGTCATTCTTTGGAAAGGAATTTTGTGCAATTTTTTATGCAGTGGCTGACGACGATGAAAAATTGTGCCTGTAGTGGGTATGCGTCACAGTTAATAGGTGATCAGGAAAAAGTTTTCTAATGGGTTGAAGCATCAGATGACCCGCTTGTTATGCAATTAGCATTGTGTGACACCCGGCGGTTCCTTTGATGTTCTAAAACACTTTATCACTCATAATAATGCGATTCCTTTCCAGACATCAAGCCTGCCTAAGGCCAGTTTAGACACGCGTTCAAAGTACTGGTGTGGCTCAGTGGTATCTAAAACTGGGCTGGGACGCAACGGACTCGTGTTTAAATCCCATTGTGTCATTGGTGTTTTTTATCTACCATCTTTTTTTTTATACTGGTTACGGACATCGGTGGCGGACAACTACGGTGCCGCGCGTGACCCAAGTTCTGATCTCACAGCAGCTTTCGCTGTAAAAAACTACATAGACAATTCACCACTTATGCTGGTGGCATCCTCAGTATGCATTGGCACCAAATGAGCAGATTTCTCCAAGTCAACTGCTAGTTTTGCATGTCCCCATACACATACATTGACGAAGCAGGCATATGTATCGGCGAAAGAGGCAGGAAGCGGTCAGCGAGGCTCAAGGAGTGCAAAGGGGACATTGCTAAAGCTACTGATGCTAGGTATTCCAAGACAAAACTCGTCGAACACTGCTGAACGATTGGGCATGCCTTTGATCGTGAAGTGGGAGTGCGGGTACACACAACACACAGAGAAGAGCCCCACAGCATGAGCACTCGTGCTGTGTGGCTCTTCTCTGTCAGTTGTGTGTTCCCGCTCTCCCACTTCGCTCAAGGAATATGAACTACCAACTAGCCCATCTTTTTATCATGCAAAAAACAACTGCAGCCCCCTACTGGAGGTGTATAGAGACATACGAGACTAGCAGTGAACTTGGTGACCTCCGCTGATTTGGCACCAGTGCATACTGCCCGCATAGGTGATGAAACGTCTAGTATGTAGTTTTTGTTATGTTTTGTTAAATCGGAGTACATATTTGCTATCAATATTTGTTTGAGCATCCAATGGTTCATGCTATTGTTCAAAGGTTGGATAAAGTGTCTCCAAAGCACTAGAAAGGGAGGTTGGCCTGGAGGAAATGCTGTGTTCATTAAGTTTACTAGCAGTTGCTCAGGAGGTACTGCTCTCGGCTGTCTGTGTCAGTAGCACAGTATGATTGTAGCTGGTCAATTAGTAATTTTTTTTACATAATGAAGGCTTAATGTGAAACATATTTACAGCAACTTGTATCCTTGCAGGAAAGGCAGTGAGTATGTTATGGTGCATTGCCATGCACTCGTTCACTAGTGCAAATTCGCTTGCTGAGCAAATCCAGTGGGCTTGCACTAGCTTATGTCTGGAGAGCATACAATAATTGTGCGGCATAAAGGTTTTTAAAATTCAAGATAACTGCGTCTTGTTGGTATGAATCTGGTCGTTAAAGGTAATATTGGCTCTTATTTGAGTCAAAACAACGACCGATTGATACGATGCATACCAAAGATGCTGGAAACAAGTTACTTATCCCTAAATTTGTGCATTTGAATCTATAAGTACTTTGCTATTGGATTCAATACGACCTGCAATGCATGAACCATGCTTATAGCAATGCCTGGAGTGGAGAGAGTTTTGTCAGGACAAAAAAAAAAACAGCTACAAGATCACGCAGTGTTGTGGCACGCAATAAAAAATGCTGCCCTAGGGCCAAGGGCGCCTGCACCAATATTTATAAATAATTTTCATCGTTAAGTAGAACCCCTTTATAAGAGACACTCATATAAGAGACAAGTGGGTATAAGAGACACCAGTGTGCCTCAGGAAAATACGGGGTGATAAGAAAATGCATATGAGATACCTTGCTTATAGAGAATTGCTACCCGGAGCATGCCTTTGATAAAGGGGTTTAACTGTATCAGCATTTATCTGCACTGCTCAGTGTGTCAATGTATTGCTATTTTATAAGGACAGCATCTGATAAAAACTGAGTGTCTACATTGTTTGCATCCGAGAGCTTCTCTGCTTTTTTTTTTAGAGTGTCACTATGACCACAGTTAGGGCATTGCAGCTCATATTGAAAACTGTGATATTTATGTAGTGAAGGAGCTCAAGGTATACAGAAAGTCAACTAAAAACCACAAATATACTGAAGGACCTGTATGAATACCAAACACATAATTACACCTTCTTGGTTGGAAGCGCAGCAACTATTACAAAGAGCACACAACACAAGTGCTTAACTTCAAATAAACATTTATTGCAAGCATCAGAGTTTATAAAGGGTGTGAAAGAGAAAAAAAATAATAAAAAAAAATAAAAGGCAGACGAACAAAAAGCACACGTGCAAGTCCTGTGTATTACTTATCCATTATTATCTATCACCCCATCCAAAAAACAAAGTTCTTTCCGCGAGAGCAAGATAGAGGGTGCACTAACACACTCAAAATCATCACATGTCATTTCCGCTGCTTCTACAATCAAACGGGTTAATAAATCTCTGTCCCAGTATAACACGCAAGTGTTATCAAAATACGGAACACAACCGCACTCCTTACAGTGGATCGCCAAGTGACCATCGGTAGCCTTTTGCACTTATTGTGGTGCTCTTTTAACCTCTCATTTATGCATCTTTCAGTCGTTCCCACATCAACAAGACCGCATGACTAGGGCTATCTGTAAACAACCGACAGTGCACACAGAATATTTATTGTGATGCTTAATTTGGCAACCTATCTTTTCTTTCGAAGCAGGACAAGTTTTGTGACATATTTTTGACAGTTTCTCTGGAGCAGACATCCTACCAAGATGGATTCATACCAACTGGCCCGACGCTATTGTTTATAATTACACAACATGAAAAGCATGCAAATGATACATGCAAAGCTCTCCCAAGCACTTTGATGCCATCTGATTGCAGTGGCTTTGCCTGTTGTGTTGTCGCTTTTATTTACATAACTTTCCATGTGTCCCTTCACTGAGCATAGTGCTGATGTATCCCATTTTTGTGTTTCAAGTCACTTTTAATCATTCTGCTTTGTAATAGTAGGCATAGACAAAGTGTTTCCTGCCACAGTTTCTTTACTAACTGCCATGCTCCTTTCACTGGACTTAATTGTAACGAGTTATATGGAATGCTACTCACATATGTGCATTGCTGACGAAGCATTTCTAACAGAGTTGCCCTTTTTGTTCATTCTACCCTCAGTAAAGAAGAAAAGCTGCTGTCGAAAATCCTGAACATGGATCTTCAGCACTGCCCGAGGCTAGGAGTTCTTTCTTTAGGTACTGTCAATACAAACTTGTGCAAATGGGCATGTGGTAACACCTGTAGAAAAGCGGAACTGAGCAGCCTCCTAACAAAACTGCTTTGAGTGAGAGGAATGATGTAATGGCCTACACATTGATCTCTCTTGCATCTTCAAGTCTATTTTTGTGCTTTGGAAGGTGGTCCTTTTAGGGGCAAAGCACCTCAGGGTCAAGGTTGTTGTGTGTTGTCGGTGATGATGATGTGAATGATGATGAAGAATAAACACTAATCCAGACAGGGACAGTGCCACAGGGGGGAGGCAGTGCCGGAATGTTTCTACTGGGGGAGCACCCGTGATAAGAGAATTTCTTAGGGGGGGGGGGGGGGGGCTGGAGATCTTTTGGAATTTTAACCTACCCCCCCCCCCCACCCCTCTCGAGGAAATTCTCTTATCACGGGTGCTCAGCCAGTAGAAATATTCTGGCACTGCCCCTGGTACCAGACCACACATTCTCTTTCTGCCATGAATGAAAATTAAATGAATGTGCTCTTGCCTGGGAAAGGCAACGCCGATGCAGGCAACAAGTCACCTTGGTGGTGAGAGCTCGCGAAGCAGCGGCAAAGTGGCATTGTCGACACCAGTATCAAGAACAAGCAACTTCTCTATGGCTGTCCCTGCCATGCACTTAAAATTCTTCTTGTGGAAAAAGCATAGGAGCTGCTGGCAGTAATTGTGGAACAAAGAATTTCATAATGAATATACGTCACTAGACCCAGATAGGTAATTGGACACTGACATAAAAAAGCAGAGCTAATGGAAGTCATGTTATGTTGACTAAGGATCTGCCACGTATATACAAAGTGTGTACACACCCTTTAAATGCATGAAAACCCTTGAATGTAATCAGTACATTTTCAAGGCCCTTTAATTTCGTGACCAATAAAGCTTAATATTGACTCTTTGACCTGCTTTTTATGATAAATGAGCAATGTAATGAGTACATTTTCAAGACCCTTTAATTTCGTGACCAATGAAGCCTAATATTGACTCTTTGACCTGCTTTTTATGGTAAATAAGCAATTATCTGGCAAACTCTCAGTTTTAGAAGAAATGGGCTGGTCCGAGTGCTCATGTTCTGCTTTCTAGGACTTCTGCAGAATTGAAAACCTGAGGCGCATATTTACACATAATGTTGCTCAGTGTTGTCTCCTCTTTCATCCTCCTTCATCGCCCTGTTCTATCATTTGCTTGATTTTCCAACATGTCGGTCTGCCTTCTTCCACTTTCAATTTACTTCATAGTTACCAAATGCCACCTTTGACTCTTGCACTACTTTTCTGTCCTCTCTTTCTCTTGTGTGAGAGGCACATGAAGTGAACCTCTTAACGCTCAATTCAATCTACGAAAGTAATCAGCAGCTCAAAAAATATCAATGGACCTCATACAGCTATAGTTTACTGTACTTAAGTACTTGATGTTCACAGTGCCGTTCATTGTAGTGGCATGAGACCAGTTTGTATCAAATTCAATACATGTCAAAATTCAAAAATAGGAGAGGCCTGCTGACTCTTGGCTGTTAAAGACGCATTCAAAAATCAATTGGTCAAAAAAAAACTTAATGCAGTAATTGCTGTTTTGCATGCTTTCAGCAGACCACTACACAGAAAAGGTAGAAGCATCATACGCTATCACTGTTGTAATGAAACTCAACAGTTTGCCAAAGGCTGAAAACAGTCGACGAGAAAACGGAAGAATGTTACTCTTGTGTCAAGGTTGAGCTGGAGAAAACACGTCCGCCAAGAACAGGAGTCCGTCACCAACTGATTTATTTACACATATATACACATAGTACATAACACTGCCACACGAGGTGCCACATGACACTTGAAACAGAAAGCGAAACCGAACAGGACAACACAACAGTTACCTAGCTAATCAATACCTAACTGCTGCATGACTGTTGGGAGATGATTTAGACTCCAACCAAAAGTTTTGAAGAAACCCGACGTTTCAAAACCGACTTGGTTCTTTCCTCAGGGATGACTGCAGAGGCTACGTAGCAGCGGCGTCTTCAAAGCACTCGCGGGGTGGATAATGAACCCCCCTCTCTCTTGTTTTGCCGTGGAGCACAGTCCGTGTGTATGCACTGGGGGAAGGGTTCCGAGAGAGCGGTTGATACACACGGACTGCGCTCTATGGCAAAACGAGAGAGAGAGAGAGGGTCATTATTAAGACGTCGCTGTTACGTAGCCTTCGCAGTCACCCCTGAGGAAGGAACCAAGTCGGTTTCGAAACGTCAGGTTTATTCAAAACTTTTCGTTAGAGTCTAAATCATCTCCCAGTTTCACACCCAACCAGACAGACTTCTGTCGAGTGTTTACATTCAAGTGAATGTTGTAATGTCGGTACGTTAGTAAAACTAGAATTTCAAATATAACTTTTTTATGTATGCTGCACTAAAACTATCCGTACTGCTGTGGAACATTGTTAGAGCAAAAAGTTCCTAATTTGGATGCAGTTTTGTATCCATGAAAAACATTTGACAGGAATTCTAAATTTTTTGAAAGTTCTTGAATTTTAGGATTTGAAAACCATATGAACTAGGCTGTGTGCAGGTCCTTGAAATTCCTGAATTTTTTTATGTCTTCAAAAACCATTGAATTTTTTTAGAAAAGCTATCTGATACTGAGCTAGGGGCCTGTTTCATATGGTAAATCAACATTCGTCTGGCTAATTTTTTATGCAGGCATGAGTATAATTCATATGTCATTTACTTCATGTCAAATCTGAGAAATGGGGATAAGCTTGATCACTCTATGCAGTCAGAAAAATATTCAGTGATGATATTTTCAGCATCAAAAAAAAAAAAACAGTTGAAGCATTGTGCAACGTTATTATCATAGTGAAGTCGAACAGTTTGCAAAAAATTGTAAAAGTAAAGTAGAACTGAAGAACATTACCTATAGCTAATAATGAAGTCCCAGCTCCTGTATTAATGTTGAAAATTTTTATGCATGTGAGTAACATCATGTAAACACATATATATATATATATATATATATATATATATATATATTTTATTTCTAGTGTAATGATACCATTTGTAGTATCTTTTGCCAACATAGTTACAACAAAAGAATGCTACCTGTGATGCTGTTTTGCACCTTTGAGAAACCTTTGACAGCGACTTGAATCTCCTTAAAAACTCGTGAATTACAGTTTTTCAAGCCTGTAGAAAACCTGTATTCAATTTATATGAGCACACTTCCTTCCCTCAAACAATTTATCAGCAAAACATCGCATTTTCTGATGCCTTTTCTCTTGTGCATGCGCATTTTTATGAAAGTTTAGTTGTCTATAAAGTGTGATTCCAAACCATTTTAATCACTTTAGTGTGCATATACTGTTATGCTGCTGAGGAATAGAAACTTGACGTGCAACTACGTTAATAAATTTTGAGTAAATGAAGACAAGGCTGGACTTTGAAATCTTTGTAAAGTTTTAGTTGCCATGTCACATTTATAACTAGTGTTTATTTTTTATACTGTTATGCTCTATTTTTTATCTTTTGTTTTTTGCAATTTATTTTTGTTAGCAGGTGGTCCAAAAATTTTGGAGCCCTCCACTGCAGTGTGTCTTATAATTGTACTGCAGCTTTGGGATGTAAAACACCAGTTAATATTGTTTATTTTGATTATAGATTTCACATAGGGCATTATACCACTCTAATGAATTGTGGTGGAAGTGGCCCAAGAAGACATATTCTTCTCAAAAAGTAGAGGTATGCAATTGTGAGGATGTTGTGTACTCCCTTTCTTAATTGCTTGCTGAGAAGCAGGGCTGTAGAATTAGTAGGAAAAGCACGACCCTAAAGTGTTCTACTTTCTTTTCAGGCTAGTCTCTTGTTTTTTAACTCCTTTAGAACCTCCCTGAAGGCATAGAAATACTCTGTAAGTCTGCTTATTTTGCTGCGAAGTCATGACCTCCTCCTTTTTTTTATACCTCGCACCCTCTGCTGATACACTTTCAAAAACGTAGCCTTGAATTCAGATTGCATTGCTTTCAAACCACTACTCATTGTCTATAACAGTTTAACAGAAGGCAACAACATCTATAGCTTCAGTGGGTTTCTGTTCCTTTTCGACACATGCTAGCCTTTGAACGAAAGAAGGGGAATAGGCCAAGGGCCCATTTTTTTGTAAGACACAACCTAATGAAACCAGAGAAGGCTGAAGCCAAGGGACATCGTGCAAACCGCACCCATTGCCAGATACATGTCTATCATAGCAAAACATTTTGAACACTGGCATTGTGCATGACCCACTCGCGGGGTTCACAAACAGCAGCCATGGCGCTGGTCGGACAGTCGGTGACAGTTCTTAATGTTGGGATATGGCAAAGAGAGATTAACAGTTATCTCTCATAATTATATGGTGGTTTTGGGACGTTAAACTCCACGTATCAATCAATCTCTAGGTTCCTAGTTTTTTGTTTTTGTTCATAAATGTTGATCACACTTAGCTATTGTGTGTATGCCTAGTAAGAGCAAGCACTGCAGATATGCACTAAGCTCTTTGTGTTGACCCCACGTAACAGCATATTCAGCATTTACACGAACGACATGTTTGCATGCCTCAAAAAACATTGAATGGCCATGTATTTTTTTTTTTCAAAAAGCACCTTACAGGTGCATATTATTCGCAGTTATCTCCAGCCTAAAAATCAATTGTAAGAAACACCAGGCCTGCGCGGATGGTACAGTACAGTCACATCGAAAGCCAGAAGAGCGGTGTTTCAAAGCTTTTTTTAAACACTCATTGCATAACTCCTGCAAGCACACTTCCTGGGTACCCACGACGGGATTAATAATAAAACTTTTAGGGTAGTAGGCTGCCATTCGCTATGCTACCCTCCATCAATCTTCTGAGAAGCGTGGTATCCGCTAAACTATTTTGAGCCCCCACTTTCGACAGTAGTCACTCTTGGCTGCATGCTGGGGAAACAAACAAGTAAGGCAAAGTTTCCCGTCACAAC